AACATTTTATTTGATCCATGAAAAGTAATGATACTTTTTTTGATCAATCATACCTCTTTGCTTTCATGCAGATTTACAAGTAAACTATCAGGTGTAGGTAAGAAAATATCTATGGAAGGAAAAATACATATTTCATTAATGAATAAAAGCACACTACAAACAGCACAATATATTACTTCTGTGGCATCATAAAAAAAAGGATCAAATAAACCCTGTTTTTTCTGACTGTACAAAATGTATTTTATACAAATAAAGACTGCTTTATATCAGTGCCAGTATCATTAACATTAGTTTTTTTTTCAGATGCAAATATTTTGCAATTTATTTTTGTAGTAAACTTAACTGCTCATTTTACATTATGCTGCTATGCATATTCATTATATTTAAGCAGATTTTGATCTGTCCCTAATGTGAAATAAACTCTTTTTTTCTTGCTACTTACCATCAATATCTGAGACAATAAGCATTTGAGGCTGTGATAAACCTTCCTGCAAGTTGTAGAACTGAACAGTGCTGTCAAATGTTACGAACCCTATTCTTGTTCTAGAATCTCCAGGCAGCCTTAAGACAAGAAAGACATATTAAATGCCAAGCTAAAAATCCAGATCTTAGATGCACATCTGCAGCTTTCAATAATGTCAAAGGAAACCATGTTTGTGTATTTGGGACAAAAGTGGGCCCCAGTTGCTTAGGCCTGGTCTACAGTAGAAAGTTTACTGGCACAGATGTACGAGAAGACCACACCTCTAAGTGACATCATATGCCAGGAACTGTACATGCGGTTATGATGGTCAAGATAGCTTATTCCATTTGGGGACGTACGTTAAGCTATACTGGCCTCAGAATTCTTTTCTGGAAGAATCTGCATCTACATTTAGGGGAGTTTGCCAGTATAGCTAGACACAGGGTCAGATTGTCATAGTTCATTTTTCTAAATGTAGTTAAAATACTATTAACATGAATAACCTAAGACAGACTGCATTTACTTGTTTTAGGTAGCTATGAGAGGCAGTTACTTGCCTATCACTAGAGGTTCTTCAAGATGTGTGGTTCTTTTCCTTATTCTGCTGAGGGGTTCTGCATGTGCATCATGCATCCCGAGCTGGAGAATTTGAAAGCAATAGTGTCCTGTGGCCCACACATACATCCTTGCCTCATGTGTTTGTTCAAGTTAAAGTAACTTAACATTTCTGAAAGGTACTGTCCTATTGCAACCCAGGTCCCTGACAGATCGTTAAATAGCCACCCGCTTATTTTCACCTCTGGAACGTCAAGAGGATAAAAGGCAAGGTGGATCAGCTGTGTATCCAGTTCCTTCTCCACCACAAATCAGACAGAACCACAACAGAGGAAAAGGCAGGCAGGAAGTGGAATACAGAGTCCTCAGCCACCAGTTTCATCAGCCATTCTGCTGGAGCTGGTGGAAACATGTAGGCCAGTGGAGGATGTGGTGAAGGGTGCTTTGACTCCACCATGTCATTATGGGAGATCTGGGTTTCCTAGAGGTGGATTGTAGCAGAAGGTTCTCACAGGACAAAGAGTTCCTCTGGCTCTGGCAACTTTTCCAACCACCCTGGTATTAAGGATACATTTTCCTAATGGGAACTGATGCTGGAGTAGAGTCCCATATCTTAAGCCAGACACGCACATCTCAGTATCCTGTATTGATGTATTTTGTCATCATAATTATGACTACAAAGGAGCAAACTGCTTCCCCATGACTGGAGCTTATGGAAGCAGCATCTCTTTCTTTGCTTTGGAGGAAGACTTACTGCCATGCTTACGTGCATGCTTCCTTACCTATGGCACAGGTACAGATTCCATAGTGGTGGTACTGCTGGAAGTACACACCTAGCTGTGTCAGGTGAATGTACAGAGGTTTTCCCGTCCTTGGTCAGAATGAGATCTCATGGTAACTTCCACAAAGTTCTTCTTGAGGGGGAAAGACCAGTCTTCTTGGGTGTGGCTTGGAAAAGACTGGCAGGTACTGCACCTAGATGCAATGTGAACTTCTCCCAGGCTGTAGAGGCAATGTTGATGTTCATCGCTGGATGAGAAGGAAGGGGGCACATTTTAAAGCTTGGGGTCTTCAGCAGTATCCATGCATGGACGCAGTGGGAGGTGAATTTAAAAGTAAACAAATCCCCCAAAGTGCTATTTCTATTCTAAATAGCTACTAAAATGACAAAAAACTAAGTAAAAACAGTAAAAATGGCAAAAGATTACCAAAAAACCCTAACTACATACAACTATACTCTTTTTAAAAGTGCATCATGCAAGACGACACTAACAATTCCAATCTAGATGATGCGATGGTGAGAAGGAACTGGAAATGCAGTCTGTCTACTTCACTCTTAGTAATGCTGGACGAAATCATGAGGCAAAGCGAAGACACAACCAACAGACACTACTACTTTCAAATTCTCTGGCTCCAGATACATGGTACACGTAAGCAAATCAGCAGTGGAATACAACAAGGACCATCACTCGCAGAAGAACTTTTGTTCCTTTCACAAAAGGAAATAAAGAAAACAGTTCTCTCCATCCATGACATAATGTTACTATAAGATAATAGCCTGTGCATTACAGAATTCACTTGGCATTGCAGTATAAAGTTACTAAATAGAGAGTAACAAGGACAGCTGGGTACTACTAAGGATTATGTACTTAGCTGCCCACTCTACAATTTTTTTTTTAAAGGAGAAATGTTATCTCCTCAATGTTTCCTAAGCATGTGAGACAATCACCATAAAAAGCAGAACTACGCAAACTTTCAGAAGTCATTACAGTTCTCTTAAATAGGTCATACTTCAATGGTTTTAGAAGACTCAACTTGAACTTGTTTGAAAAATTTATCTATGATATCAAGAATTCAGTTGTATTCTAATGCATCTAAATTCATAGTTTTCTTTTTTTTCCCCTCCCTTCATTCTTACATCCTATCTTTTTTCATACTTCGCCCTCCGTGTAGCTATACTACATCCGTTTCATCACAATTTTTGAATGTAACATTCCAAAGAATGTTCTCCCCACCACACCCCTGAAAACAGAAAAATCAATCTGTGTTTACATTCTTTGTTAAAGAAAAAATGCCAGTAAGTGAGGCAGTGGCGATTTGTCTATTTAAACGCTAATATGAAAATACAGGGTGTGCCTAATGCAGTGCATATTCTTCAGCGGTAGGACACTTGCTATATGTATTCTGTGTGTTAAACAGCAATAACAATATCAACTGAATAGAAGTTACAAAGTAACATTTGAGATAGAATACTTTATCAAACTACAGCAAGTGCTCAAAATTACCTATTTTGAATCACAGAAAAACCCAACCAAAAAGTAATTTTATATCCTGAGGTAAAATATAAGCTTTAGCAGCTCTCTCTTTTAGGATGAATTCATACAATATCTAAATACTAGGAGTTGCCTAAGAATTGCTCATTTCTATAACAACATTTCTAAGGACAAGGATCAAAATATAAAAATAAGCAAAGTAGTATTGGTGGTCATTTAAATGTGAAGTAAGAAATCCTTACTTCAAATTTCTTATACACACTATTTGAGAGAAAAATCATTATTTCAGGGCCAACCTTTCACAGTGTGTAAGATTATTTTTAAAATAGACATGAGCAGAGAGGACTGTGGGTGTTCCCTCTGGAGGAGCCACGGAAAGGACTTACAGCTACTGAGACAATAATAATACACCAACAATAGATGAACAAATGGTATTACATAGCAAAAAATTAAAAATTTTGAAATTTGTGCCATAAAATGAAAAATACAAAGCAGTTTACATGAGTCTCTGCCAGTTATATTCTCTAGCATGGCATCCTGGAAGGTGTACTATTGTCACAGAATTTTACATGTTGTGTCATTTAGCAGATGGAAGATGGACAATATACAACTTTACGGAACTAAAAATCATTAGAAATGTAGAATTCACATAAGGAATATCTGTCCTTAGCCATAGCTATATTGAGAATTCAGTATACAATTCCTGGTTTATCTAAACAAAACACTTTGCAGATCATTTCTAATCACACTTCTAGAAAGATTCTTCACCATTACACAAATGGTCCTAAGTTATATAGCCATATTCTTTTTCTGAATACTAACAACAGACACTGTAAAATCCAATAGTCAGAAGAACATTTGCCCCATATTGGTAGGTCTTCTAAACACTGTTTTAAAGTTCAAGTAGAAGATACAGGATAAGCTAATATTGAAGCTTGCTCCACAAATATAAAATAAAGTCAATCCACAATGACGGTAATGTATATTCTTACTTGTCTAGATTTTCCAGCAATGACTGACAGACAATTGTCAAGTATCCAGCTTCCACTGCATTATGAGACACATCTAAAACAAACAAGTATACTGCAGGCTGAGGAGGACGAAGCTGTAAAATATAGAAAATAATGCCAAATTCTTATAGGGAAAATATGTTCATGGATAACATTCCTTTTTTGGGGGAAGGGGAGAAACAAAAAGAAAGGAAATTACTTGCAAAATGTTAAAATATATGCTATAATTAAATTAACCAAAACCAATTAACCAAAACACTGTCATTATGGGCTTTTAACAAAGCAAATAAAAGACATTTTCACTTATGTTAAGATTTTGATTAACGTATAAAGCAAAATCAACACCTTAGGCTATCTTTTATCAGCTTAGTAAAGAAGAGATTTTGATGTCAGCTGTAAATTTTGTTCTTAAAAATGGCTCCAGTAAAATGACACATTTTACTATTCTGGATTACAAAAAACCATCAGCATTGCATTGCATTGCTACCATAATTATAATTAAGTGTATATTTAAGGGATTTCTGTATTCCATTACTGAATCTTCAGAGTTTCATGTCTAAAATAAGATTCAAGCCATCAAAGACTGGTTCAATTTAAATTCACCACTAATGAGGTTGAAATCAGCAGCTTTTGTGAAAAGAATTTCAATCCTATTTATTTGTAGATATGAATTCTGTAACTGAGTTAAATACAACATTAACTAGAGGTTTCTCCTCACCCTTCTGAAATAGAGAGGATTGAGGACCACTCACAACAAATTTGCAGGTCAACAAGACACAATTTAATCTATGATTGGGGCTGTTATCACATAGGTCCTCAATTCTTAAAGTACCCCCCAAAGATGATAAAAAAGGAGATAGGACTCACTACTACATACCTCAACCTGAACCCATGCAGGCTGATTCACATAACTAGTACTTGTCCACTCATTATTAAACAGCCTTATTGTGATTTTTGATCAGGACCAAAAAATACTGATACTGAGAATGACCTGTGATGCAGCTAAGGAGAAACAGGTAGAAGGAGAAGCACCTTTTTCTTTCTTTGTAAACACTCCTCCTGAGATGAGATTCCCTTATGGAAGTAAGTCAAAGCAGGGGTGGGCAATCATTTTTGCAGGGGGGCCACTTAATGAATTTCGGTGCATGGCCACGAGTCGGGTCCACTCCTGGAAAGGATAGGGCTCGTGGTGGAAGAGGTGGGACTGGGGACTAGTCTCTACACTCAGAGCTGTCTGGGGTCAGAGGCTTTGAATTAAAAACACAGCAAAGGGCTCGCATCTCCGACCCCTGCCAAGGTAGCACCATGACCGTGAGCCATGAGCCATTTAAAAAACGATACTGCTGCCTGAGCCACTGCCTGGAAATTTGGGAGCAGCAGGATATAAATAGAAAGTGGCCAGATGCAGTCCGTGGGCCAGATCAAAGCGTTAGACAGGCCGGATCTGGCCCCTGGGCCGCATCTTGCCCAGCCTTGAGCTAACAGTTACGTGAGTAGATGTTTGCTGGTTTAACTCCTGAACATCCACATCCTACAAGGTGGGAGAATCGGCATGAAATATTTTTGAGCGCTTTCTAGAAGAGAGGAAATGAAGGGAATGCACAGGCTACACAGAAATATCAAAGACTGATGTGTCATGACCTAAGAAATTCCTACTCTGGGTACCTGCTGTTGAATTGATTGCATTTAGTATTTTTTTAACGTCACAAAGAGGCGCCAAGGTTGACAGGGTCTCATTTGTATGGAAGCACTTCAGAGCTGCTAAACCAGTCCGATAGTAGGTTCAAACATCAAAGATGTGCAGGGATCATGCTGAGAACAAGTTCTCTGCCTATACAAACAAGGAGTGTTTCTTCCCCCTTGTTAATTTAGGTGCACAACCACTGATGAATCTGGTTTTAGGGCAGTGGTTTTAAAACTTTATTTTCTTGTGACCCAGTTGTAAAAACTGCTTATGACAGCAACCCAATTATTATATCTTTTTGAGACGTCCCTTCCCCCCCACCGTGGAGCTCTCCAGTGAGCTCCCTAGCTACTGGGAACTCCAACACTCTCCTGCCGAGCTCCAGCTGACAACCCAGTGCTCCACATCCTGCGACCCAGTATTGGGTCGCAACCCTAGGTTTGGGAATCACTGTTTTACAGCAGATGGGCAACTGTTTGACTCCATATCACAGGGGGTCAGCAAAGCTAAGTTACTCAGGATTTGGCTTCCTGCCCTGAGCTCTAGTGAGTCTAATGCTGGCCCCAATCTCTGGTTTATTTGGGCAGACCTCCCCTCACCCCTAAAAAAACCCAAACCTTTGCTCACAGGGCGCAGATCCCTGGTTGAGAATTCTTCTACTGTGCTACATTTCTCTCATAATCATTGTAAAACACAACCCTCAA